GATGAGTCTAGCCTTTTTACCGAAGTGCAGACGGATTGCTCCCTTGTCGGAAATCGTGTTCCATTCTTCTCCCTTAGACAAGTTAACTAGTTTCTGCAACTCTGGGGGATTGTTTGAAGGGGACAACTCTTTACTCAGATTCTTCTGGATGTGTGCGGCAATGAGTGTCTCGATGCTTTCTTCGAGATGCATGTCCACTTCCTGTACAGACAAGACTTCATCGTACGCTTCGGTGCGTGGTCGAGCAGCGGACGACTCGGCCGTCGTGTTCGGGTCTGGAGACAGGGCTCTTTTCTGTCCATGTACCATGTTCTGATCTTCTTTGGTTTCTGTGGCGTCCTGAAGCAGTTGAGGGAGCACTTCTCTCATGACTTCTACGAAATCGTCCTGTCTCATTGCAGGCGGTCTGTAGAGAGCAGGAGCACCGGACTTCTGATCTACCCTCCGTCGTATTGGACCATATGAGCTTGGTGCACTAGTCAACCCTTCAAGTGACAGTGTTTCAGCAGAGACTGAGGCATGTGTCTCTTGAGTTCGTGCTGGCTCACATGTCATGGGACCTGGTACAGCAGAGGCATCGGAAGTCTGTGCTTCGGACTGCTCGTGATCAGGCGACATGTTTGGCTGCTGTGCTGATGGGGGTGTGTCTCCTTTATCCGAGTCTGATTTCACTGATTGATCTTCGGAGGGATAGTGTCCTGGAACCAAGTCAATGAACTGATGGCTTTTAAAGGTACCTCCTTCCACAAGATCTCGAATACCTAACAGCTCTGCTTGAGGGGTTGAAATCAAGACTCGTTCTTCGGTGGTCGCTGGCCTCATTTGTTCAGGCGCACACCGGAAGATGTGACGACGATGAGCTACCACATAATTCTTCCCGACCTGACCTATCACAATTGCAGTACCATACCAACGTCCACCTTGTTGAACCACACCTTGACCCATCACTTTCTGTTGTCGCCAATAGCACACGAGATCGCCTGGTTGATACGACAGCATGGCACGAGGTCGAGCAGCCAAGGCCTGTCTCAAGGCTTTGTCATCTTGCATGGCAACAACAGCCTGTCTGGCGCTTGTACGAATGGCTTGAGACTTGGCGATGGCGGAATCGTCTAGACCGGCGGTGCCTGGTACGACATGCAGCGGTTCACTCAACAAGTCACCTGGAATGTCTGGGTTCTTTCCAAACACATGTTGATGGGGAGTGTAACCATAATTTTGAATCATTTGGTTCTTTACATGAGCATGTCGAACACAAGCTTCCCATTCTTCTCGAGTGGTTGGTGAATGTTCTAGGATTACCTTCTCAAGAACTTTGGAAAACCACCCGCCGTGAACCTCTGTCCTACCAAGCTGCCAGCGCTTCTGCTGGAATTGTTCGGACCACGATGCCCTGATCATCAAGGTACGATTGCATGGCTTCTCCTAGATTTGTTTGTGCACTATCCATGATGACTTCTCTAGGGATTCCTGCCCATTGGATCAAGTGACTATCGAACAGTTGTCGGAGGAGACATGAGGTTTCCCGTTCGAAGAAAGGAATCATCTGTTGGTAACAGGACCCTTGACAAACAATGTTTAGAGCTTTGACCTTCTGATTGACCTGCCAGCCTGGGAGCCATTTTACATCTATTCCTACTGACACATTGAACTCACAGGAGCGTGTCGGTTTGGCAGGCAATGGCACATGTGGTCGAACTTGGGACTTGCACAGGTCGCATTCCAACGTCTTGGCCATCTCAATGGCTTTGTCGGACGCAGATCCATGTCGGAGGATGCGAACCAGATCTTTAGTGCTACAGTGGCCGAGATTCTTGTGCAGTCGATGCAGGGCTCGCTTGATGGCTTCTTCATCCTCCCCTTGGATCTCTTCACGACTCACAAGTACTTCATGAACTTCCATGGGGCAATCATGCCTAATCTGCACGAGGTGCACCTGTTGGGCACGTTCAAAGGCCGGCACGGTCTTCAGAACAGCTTGTACAAATGCCGGTGTGTATTGTGCAACATATTGGCTAATCGATCCCACTTCAGCATGTGTTCCCGCCACCACGTCGTGACAAGTGTGATGGGGGTTTCTCTTTCCAGGACACGTGAGGCCTAGGGTTGTCATTGACTGATGACTCACAAGCAACCTGGTGGCCTTTCGGATGTATTGTTTGCTGTGGGGAAGTCTTAACCCAAACCTACACATGTGGCGCTTGACATGGAAGTACTTGTTCAACAAACATTGCATCTCTTCATAGGTCCATGTCTTAGCTCCTAATGGATGTTCGAACAAGGCTTGTTTCCCGGCCTGTACTTGTTGCTCAAACAGGTCGCAACAGTAGCGAATGAACAACCGACTCAATCGACGCTTTTTCAAATACTCCATTGGATCCATGGTACAAGCATTCAGGTTGAACCAACCACCTTCGTACGTGCATGGAGGGCACAGTACCAAAAGATCTGGAGGATGCTGTTTGAGGAACTGTTTGGTTTCTTCTCGGCATTGGGCTTTTGAGAAATCATACCCGGTTTTGAGATCACATGACATGGCAAAACCGCCTACTGCTTCGATGGACGGAGCGAAACGAGGAGGGCTGAAAATCTCAGCCAACATGAAACGCTTCCCCTGCACAAAGGAGCCGACTCGACTTGGTGCCTGCTTGATTTGTGCCGTCAACTGTCGGCACACTTGAACTGGCAGGCTCTCGATCGTGTTGATGTGTTCCTGAGGCATAAACACGAAGTCGGTTCGAGTTCTGCGAACGTCTTGCGGCAAAGGTTGGATATAATATCTCTTATCTTTGCTATGATCGATAGTTTGATCGCTCACTATCCTACCGGTGTCAAGATCATGGATGGTCCTGTGGATGACTGTGTGCCAAAAAGGGGCCTGTTTGCCCGTCACTGGCGTTAAGGTCAAACCTTCATCCACACGAGACCAAACAGACGACCCTGGATGAGTCTTGGGCCTGTTCTTCAAGATCTAAGGCGGTCTCTGGCATGGAAGGTGCGATTGTAGGCTCATGATCACAGCAACTGTTGGCTTCCTGAGAGGCCATAACTTCCGAGAACTGCACTTCCTTGCCCTTGGTTTCCTCGGGCAAGACTCGAATCATGAACTGTCCAGCGGAATTGGTGTGGAGAGGCACCTGCACTGCATCGTCAAATATGGTCATGGTGCCTTGTCCGAAGGCCAGTGTTGCCTTGAGTTTCTGAAGAGCTGCACGCGAGATCAGCAATGGGGCTTGTCCTTGCGCGATGGCTGCACGGATGGATCCAGACTTGCCAGCGATTCGAACTGGCATGGCCAGCACCTCAGTGGAGGTCTCTTTTTCACCATTGCCATACCTGAAGTAGTTGATCTCAGGCTCAGGCTCAGGGCATGACATGCCGTGTTGCTGCCACATTTGCTTGAACTTGGCAAGTGTCTCACGGCCGACAATAGTGCGGCCGCATCCTGAATCGATCACCCCGAAACCAGGGCTTGAAACCAGCAGAGTTTCGTGCACGGTCCAATCAGGAATCGAGGAATCTGTTGCTCGCTTCGTGGAACGCAGGATGTCAAGCGGCGACCAACTTGCAAAATGCTGTGCCATAGCAACAAACTGCTCATCATCTTCTTGGACGGGTTGTACCAGGGCTGCACCAGTCTCTGAGGAGCCCTTCGAGGAAGAGGACTGCTTGCCTTTGCCTTTTCCTTTTCGACATTCCTTGGACCAGTGTCCCAATTGTCCACAGCGATGGCAGCGTGTCTTTTTCTTCAACTCTTCAACTTCTACACGAAAACTTCTTCTGAGCTCATTGGACTTGGCGGCATTCGAAGAAAAGTTGCGAGCTTTCTGCAACCTCGACAGCTCTTGCCGTCGATCTTTCCAGCTGATCGCCAATGCTTCTGCGACCTCGGCCTCTTCATAGACTTCTTCTTCAAGAGCCTCGTCTTGCTGATACTCAGCAAGAAATTGTTCAACATCGTTGAAGTCGTCGACGAGGTCGGAGATCTCAGAAACGGACTCTCCTACGATGGATTCTTCCAGCATTGCAACGCCAGCTATGTGCTTCTTCTTCATCACGAACTCGGGGTAGCAGCTGCGCATTGCTTTGCCGATCTCCTCTCGCTTCATGACCCCTAAGGATCGAGCGACGACCACAGCTTTTTGTTCGTCGTTGAGCCCACTCCTGTGGAGGATCAGCCATCCTCGAGCCTCCTCAGGAAACGTGACATTCGTTTTGCGAGCGCATCGATCGAACAACTCAGTGGCACGGCTAATCCAGGCTTTGAGTGTTTCACCTTCGGCGGCACGAAGATTGAAGATCTCGGTCAGCACCTCCGACATCTCATCGGTGACTTCTTTCTGAGGGAATCGCTGATCCAGAAGACTGAAGAGAACTTTCTCACCGCCTTCTTTCTGGAATGCGCTAGGATCCAGGTGTTCTACACACTCCAAAGCCTTGCCACTCAAGAGAGTGAAAACATAGGCCCCTCGGGCCTCCTTGGGCATTTTGTCCAGCGTCATCATCTTCGACTGGACCCATGCTTTCCACCGACGGTAGTCCTTGTGGTCTTCGGACTCGCCAGAGAAAAACTTCAGACCACCTTGGTCTTGACTTGCACCACCACTCATGCCGGCGCCGAGTTCCTACTCGGAGCCTCGACCGTTTTGGCCGAGGCTCCGCTAAAACACCGGTAGCCGACCGACTCCAGTCGATCGAAAACCCATAGGGCGATCCTTTTCAGCTCCAGCCGATGAATGTCCCTGCGGATACGACGATCGATATGCTTGCACCTGGAAGGAAGACATGGTTGCGGCACTCATGGAAGTCAACATATATATATATATATGCATGCATGCACTTGAAGGGTACACACATACACGCTGTTGGATTTTCTTTCGGGATTGTTGTATATAGGCTTGCGGTTGGGAAACCAAACGCTGATTTGTGACAAGTGTTTTGCCTTGGGTCTTGAAAAGAGCTCGTGTTGAGAGTCTTCCGTTTCGAGATCCCCATGAAAGGTGATGGTTCTGGCCAAAAGGACCTGGAGGCAGGTGGTTTGAATGAACCAGGCAGGGACGGCAGCGAAAACCGTTGGTGAAGAATCCCATATCAAGCGTTCGGGGGCATTGGCCATTTTCAATTGTGCCTGTTTGTTTTTTATGTTTCTTGCTTTGTAGCGGCGCACGAGGCCGACACCATTGGTCCCACGATGTTGAGGAGTAGCAAAGTAGCCTCTCGCACTGCTTTGTGTTCTGGTGCAGCTCCCATGGCCATGTTGTTTAGAAGGCATGGACCATTACACAACGTAACCAGTTTTTGAGTACGATCAGTGTGGATCCTGGTATTAAAGTTTCTTTCAACCATAATCAGCTGTTGTCCCACTTTTGCTGGCCCCCGAAAATGACAACTTGTGTTCCTGCGAAAAGCATCTCACTCGGCCAGGTGGTCATCGAGGGAGCTTAGTCATCACAGTACGTCCAGATGGTTCCGAGGATACCATTACGCCATGCCCTCGCCACTCTGATGATATGGATCGAACTGAAGCAGCCAGACAACTACCACAATTTTCGTTCAATTTTTTGGGAACTGTCCAGCGACGTTGGGGTGCTAGACTCTTTCTCCCCAGATAGCTGAAAACTATAGGGGCTCTTACTTCTCAATGACCGGGTGGCTGATCGGTGTTTTGTTTGCGGTTTCTGCCTTGTCTCCTCACTTGTCTCCCAACTTGGCTGCCTGTGTGATTGGTGGTCTGTTTGCCGATGCTGCCTTGTTTCCCTACTTGTTTTGTGGCATGTCTCCACTTGTCTGCCTCATCGGCGTTGGGTTTGCCACTGCTGCCTGGTCTCCTTACATGTCTCCCTGTTTGTCTACCTGGTGATCGGTGTTTTCTCGCGGCTGCTGCTGCTGCTGATGCTGCTGCTGACTTTGTCTCAGGTACTTCTGGCCTTAGAGTTATATAGTTGATAGTTGGCGGCAGAAGATGTCAAAACGCGAGCACTTCCTGGGGTCCAATTGTTGTTTTGCCCTCCATATTGGAAGCATTAAATAGAGCGTCCCTAGCTGGGGTTTCTAGTAGTGACCTGACCTCCCTCCAACGCTTCCAACCGCGCGACGCGGCGGAGTCGCACGGGGAGCGCCTCAGGTGAAGAGGGCGAGAAATCCCTGAAGACTCTGACGCGAGTGATGGCTCTGACAGGTTTTGGGCCCGGACATTGCGATCGTGCTGTGCCTCACCTCTTGTACACCACCTGGTACTCTGAGTTCGAGCCCCCGGAGAAGTTGCGAAAAGACTATGACCGTGAAATACAGACTCTATGTGCCACTGGAATCACCCGAGATGGGTGGTGTTACATTGTCATGTATTCGGTGGTGGGCAAAGTCATGATGGATTTCATCGTTGTGGCCATGTCACGCTTTGTGGTCGCTGGGCGTAAAGAGTTTTGCGCACGTGCCATTTGCCAGTCTCACATGTGGTGTTCGGTCTAGCACCCGCTTTGCAAGAAAAGAACTGGGTGCTCGGGATTGCTTTTCTTGAGCTGGCCAACCCAAGGCAGATAGCCAAGCGCAACTGTAGGAAGCGGGACCACTTGAGAAGTATCTAAGTATCTCCACTTGCAGGTCACACCCAGCCAGCAACACTCATCGCTCTTTGAGAGTGCCACACACGACGTTCTCGTTATAACGCCTAAGTACATTGACTGCGCCACGACAAGCACTCACCCCCTCCGGGCAAAAAACGCGCGCAGGTCTTCAATGGTTCCAGAAGTGAGCTCGGGGTGGTCGCGGAGCCAATCCCTTGATGTGTTTTTTGAACCAAGCAACTTCTGATGGTAGCATGATACTGGTTGGTAGAGGAAAATAATCTTCCAGCAGGCCAGACAGTCAGGGTCTGCGTGAGTTTTTGGGAGTGTAAGTGTCAGTGTGGGGTAAAACAACGTGCTGATGCTGCGAGGCTGGAGCTGGATATTTTGAGTCACTGTCGCTTACCTTGACAGATCGCAGCTTGATGAGTTTTTTGGAGCCAATGCGTTACATGCCCTTCATTCGCCAGGTGTTCGCCTGGGTCCCCTGGCCTTGGATGCTTTTGCCGTTTTTTTGGGAAGCCTGTTTGTGGGGGCCAACTTTTTCAGGAAGCACTGACTTCTGGCACTGACTTTGCACGTATATATGTATGTAATTATACATACATATATATTATATACACGCACGCCCAAAATACACAGCGTGCGTTACAACGGGGGTTTTGCGCTTTGGTAAGAAGGTTGGCGGTTTCGAGCTTCAAACACGCTTGCATCTCTTGAACACATTGATTCCTGCAGGGGCCAACTTTTCCAAAGCAACTCCACCCAAATCGACTTGTTCTAACCTCTGCGCCCAGACATACGGTACTTCGTTTCCTGAGACTTCAAGCTGGTTGCATCAGGTTGACGTCATTTGGTGATGTTGTTGGCACCGTGGTGCTGAACTCATCTGGCTGGACACTGGCCCAGTAGAAGAGACGGATCACAGAGTGTGTGTTTTTCCGGCGCGTCACGCAGACGCACTCTGAACACACAACTCCAAGATGCTCGGAATCCGCAATAAGCAGGTAATCATGGATATTCTCTTGGAATATGAACGTCAGTTCTCCAAACACTTGCTACTGGACCGACCTGTCTCGGTCCTATATCCAGGCCCTCATTTTACAGGTGTTGGTTAAACAAAAACACGACTCAATCAGGTAAAAGGCCAGGTTTTACTGGCTCAGGCTGGACGTGCAGCGATATATAGATCCATAGAGACACGACAACCAATTTTTTATGGGAGGCTGGCAAGGTTTCGGACTTCAGCTCGGCTCGTGATGGAAGGGCTCCAGGAGCCATGGACTGAATGCGACATCAAACTGTTCGACCATGCGCCTTCAGAGGCCGTGATTGGAGTCTTTCCATAAAGCGAAAATGCCGTAGGCAGACCAACCATTTTCAGAAAAATCTGAAGCGTTTGGTCATGTGCTCTGGAAGCTGCAGGCTGAGCAAGACAATGTGCTTCCTGCAACCGATCCCTTCGATACCCCCTTGCAATTACATACAGAGAACCCGGCAGTGTTGGGGTGGATGGAAGGATATTGACCACTGGCAGAGGTTCACAAGATTTCGGGGTTCACTGCCTTACTTGTAAACCACTGCCCCACCAGTGTTGGGGTGTATGCATGTCAAGATTTCAGGGCAGAGGTTCACTGGAATAGAACTGGGTGGCCCTGACTTGTCTCTAATCCCTTGGCTGTGCTTAGGCGGTGCGAGTGTGGTGCTCCTGCGCTCATTTGTTCGGGGAGTGCAATCCAGGTGCCCTCCAGGTGCCATCGCGGAGTGTTGGAAACCCACCGTCCCAGTTGTGCCCCTGGAGTCGAGTGCGCGCCGTCCATGAGTATCCTTCCAAGTGAAGCCGAAGAACAACATGTGCGCGACCAAGTCCATGCAAACGAGATCATTGACACAAGTGACTAGGAAGCCTGCGAAGACGTTATTTATGAGACTCAGTGACTCACTCATTGTATATATGATATCGATATGATATGATAGGCATGTGGTGCCGCCTTTGCACTTTGCTCCTCCAGCTTCCAGAGCACCCCCAGCTGACTGCCGCTGGGCAGACCGATAGTGAAAGCAGCATGGATTTCAATGGATTTCTCATTGTTGTGTTTGGTGCCTCCCTGTAGGTTCCGACTTGCAGCCCTGTCCGGTGTTTTTTGCCACAGTCATGTTCGAAAGAATCTATCATGCAGCTTTCAGTTACTGTAAACTCTGCAAACGCCTCTTGTGCAAGAACTGCATGAATCATGCGCAGTTGCACTGCCTTTGCTATTTTTCCATGTCTGTACGATGTTCCAGCTTCGCTGCTGGCATCAGGACGCAGAAGATCTCCTTCCCTCATGAATCAACAGTTGGCAATGACAGGTCACTCTTGATGGATTTGTTATGACCTGTTCATTTTTGTGTGTGGGCATTTGTGTAAACACACTGGTGAAGGGGATTCTTCTGATCAAATCTTTACACATCTTACGAGCAACTTACATCTCATCCGCGGATGGTCCCAGATCCTGCGATCGGCCGCAAGTATCATTGAAAGAGGACGACTCAAGATACCCGTTATAGCGACCTTTGTGCACGTCTAAGACGCGAGTTTTGCATGTGCGGATGTGCGTGGATGTGTGCATCACACGAGACTTCTGTGCGAGATGGAAAACATGCCGCGGCTCGTGATGCGTGGATGTCGGAAGAGACACGAGTTTCGTGGAGCGAAACGTGCGTTGCTTGTCGGGACCTGTCAGGGAAAGCTGGGGCTGGGCATGTCTTCTGCAAGTTCGAGCCGCCTGGACTGAACTTCTGAACTTCTGAATGCTTCGGAGTGATTTTGGGGTGCGAAAGGACAGTTCGCCTTTCGATGTTGATGCTTCATGACGCTTCTTCTTCGAGCGAATAGATCAGGGCCAGGAGTCGCAAAAGGGTGGGAGGGGATAGGGGTGCTCACTATCCACTCACTTAGGACTAAACACCACCCCTTTGTGTGGGGGTTCCTCTTTTTCGGCTATGACCTTGGAGCACGCCGTCAAATCGATAGGACGGACGGGCGGACCTTCACGAACGACCACTTGCGAACGACAAATCCCCGTGCCTGGTAGGAGCTTCGACTTCAGTCGTAGAGAGAGCCGTGGCTATCCCCCTTTCTTATCGTTTCGCCCGGTGCAAAAGTGAAGCTGTCAGAATCGGATGGGAATTAGAATGAATTCTGAAGCAATGCACGTCTTGGATGAGTGGGACATGGTGGGGCATATCTTAAGCCACCCCATATTATGGATCAAGAAACCTCTTACTGTAGTAGCAGTGTTGCCAGTATGTGCCGGTCTTTCAGCTTCCCACGTCCAACTCTTGCCGGCCGTCGGCCCTTGGCCGCCTCTGCGCCCCCAAGGCAAGTTCCAAAAGGCCGCCGCCGAGTCGAAGGCGAAGCTTTCAGAGACGCTCTCGAAGTTGAGCAACATGCAGATTCCAGGCCGGCCGAAGGTGGCTCGGTCGATTGAGGTCCCAGGTCCCCCCAAAGGGCTCAAGGAAGGCGAAGGCTCGGATCTCTTTTGGGATCCTTCAGCTTCGGTGCGGTGTGTGGCTGAGGTGATGGTTTGTAGACTCTTGATTTGAAAAACACTTGGGAGTTTGGGTGGGCCTTATATATGTTTGAGTGATCAAGAGTCTACAGAACCTTCTGAGAAGGTAGGGAAGCAAACGGCCACGGCCGAGCCTTCCGACCCGCCTGACGAGTGTCGTCTCACCTTCGCTCCCGCCGAGTGGATTGGCCGACGAGGCGCATGCTCAAAGGATTGAAGGGTCGTCGAGTCGTCGACCAAACACAAAAGCAAGTTCAAACTCGTCGGAAGAAGCCGAAGGCACCACCTGTAGCGGCATCCTCGTAAAGGACCAGCGGGAGAGACGGATATATATAAGGGGGGGCGTTGCTCTTCCTTTGACGCCAAACATCTCGGAGACTTGTTCCGATCCTTCTGGCTAAGATGACGAGACTGTCTTATATACCCAGACACTCCATGGTCATGGCCATATATATGATCATATTTACACGATTTTACATGCACACATTGACCATTGACCGGCCCAGAAACCACCCCAATGCATGGCATAGATTGTTTGGGTTAGATGGTCTGTGGCCGACCATCGTCCACTGAGCCTCAAACAGAAGCGAGGCCTCCGCGAGTCGCGGGACCTCGCCGGACGGTCAGCAAGTGGGTTCCGAACCGACCTTGACTGACTCCAACGTCCCAGGTACTGGGACCGGGACCGAACTCGTACAGACTTTCCTTTCTCGAATACTGAGCTCTAGTGAGACTCTTGGTCAAGACATGCACAGGAGGCATCGATCACCACTCTCGTACAGACTATGCTAATGGTGACCTCTTCTCTGACTAGAGTCCCTCCGGTTTCCTGGAGTCCGTTCCTGGCCCTGTTGGAGTCACCGACCCGACGTGGACCGGACCGGAGGGCATCCCCCGAAAGCGAGGTCGGTGGTTGGAAGTGGTCACCACTGCTTGTCCCTGATGTTGGTGAAGTGGTGGTTGGAAGTCTAAGGTGTGAGAGGGACCCAATTCTTGCTGTCCTCCTGGGTCCAGGCAACTGGAAGCATTTGAAGAAGGCCAACAGCGGCGGCTTCGGCGCTGCCGGCGATTCCTCGTCGCAAACGGGCTTTGCCAGGCGAAAGCTGAGCTGCGCGAATAAACGGGAGGGATCAAGTCGTGGCGACAGGAGCAGGAAACCCCCGTCCTGGTGGAACAATAACAGATGGTGAACATGTGTGAAATATGTTTTTGGAGAGGACACCAAGTCATCCAAGTCTTTTTCAGCATATCCTTTTTTCTTCCAGAGATCCATGTTAGTTTTATGGCAGCCTCAGAAAAAGGCAGGATGCTCAGACCAACCGGAGCAGGGCCTATAGAAGGACGTCCGTGACCTCGTCAGATACGTTGCACCGGAGCACGGCCTTCTAGTTCTGAAAATGCTTAAACAGTGTTACTACCTCTCGCACATCTGTCCGAGTCGATGTCATGCCGGACACTCTGGTCCGAACATGGGAGTTTCCCCAAAAGAGACATGCAATCACCACTCATGTACAGGGATCAGCCACGTCTCAAGGCGGCGATCCGCACCCACACAAAACAGCTGTGCAAGCATCGTGAGGCCTTTGGCCGACACAAAGGGTGCTGCACCTTCGATGCATCCCTGAGGCAAAATGCGGCCACATGCTCGTGGCTTTGTAGAGTTGAAGCAACCTGGAAATGGTTGGGCCTTATCAGACTTGTGAAGAAACAACAAGGCCTCTCTCAAGATCTTGTACAGATCACGAAACGTAAGGTCAGAAATGTCGCCTGGCATACGATGACCTTCAGCGTGGAACGCAACTGCAATTTCGCAAAAGGAAATGGACTCTTCTCCAGAACGCTTCCACTGCAAGCCACTCAAAAATTTTACAACAACTTTCCAACCTTCATTGCCGTGCCGCCACGACTTCGGTGGTGCAATATCTGAAGGAATCTTCGGTTTCCACCGAAACTGTGTGATCGGTGTCGACCAGTGCCACTGAGGGTAAAGGGCCGCCGCTTGACACTCTGTAAGCTTCTCAGGAAGTTCAACGACACCCTCATCAGTTGCACCATCGTTTGTGTCATTCTTTGTGGGGAGCATGGCATGCAACACTGTCAACCAATGCTGATGCTTGAAGATTTCTTGCTTGGCCTGCCGGTGAACTGCACAATCAACTGGAGAAAGCCGATGGGCAAGATGTTTTGCAACTCTGTCAGCAATACGATTCATCAAGATATGCTGTCTCGTGGTTGCAAATTCACGTGCCTTTTCCTCTGTAATCATGCTGTCCGGGGTGTCCTCAAGAACATGGGCGGGAATCCAA